CGCTGTCGACCGGCTTACGTCACTTCTTAATACACACTCTCAGTGCGAATGCAGCCCTTTAAATTGTACTGGGAAATAGTTCGCGCAAAATCGTCCCAGTACTTTAGTACTGTACCTTTAGTTCTGGAACTAAAGCGGTGCGAAAGGCCCTTTGTATAGCGCTTTTCACAATATGCATCATTTCAAAGCAGCTTTACAGAAAAAAATAAATAGTAGATGTCATATAGGATTTTCAGTGTAGATTTAGTATTACATTTGTACTATTATGGTATTTAGTCATATTTTGAATTTTATATTTTTTAGTTTCCATTTTAATGTTTAGTTTCGGTTGTTTTGTGTGTGTTTTTTTTTTTTACTATATATAGTAAGTAATGAAAATGACAAAACCACACAACAACCTATATATATATATATATATATATATACACACACACACGTCATATAGGATTTTCAGTGTAGATTTAGTATTACATTTGTACTATTATGGTATTTAGTCATATTTTGAATTTTATATTTTTTAGTTTCCATTTTAATGTTTAGTTTCGGTTGTTTTGTGTGTGTTTTTTTTTTTTACTATATATAGTAAGTAATGAAAATGACAAAACCACACAACAACCTATATATATATATATATATATATACCCACACACACACACAATTTTTTAAATTTCAATAGTATTTCAATTTATTGTATTTCCGTTAGCTGCCGAGGCAACATATCTAATTTCCGTTTAAGCTACTTATGTTATTAAGCTTTCATTAGGGAATCTCTGTGTTAATTTAGTATTTTTAAGCTATTGTAGTATTCATGTTCATGTAATATTTTATTTTATTTTATTTCAACTTTTAGTTAACAAAAATGGTTTTGAATAGTTGTAGTTAACAGTAACAATACTTTGTCAGCCAAACTCCTTTGAGCTAAAATATTCACTTGAAGTCCATCTGAGATTTTAAGTGAATATTTCAAAAATTTACCAACATATTGTATATTCGCCGTTCTCTGATGTCCGTTAATGATCAAATAACATGCAGGTAAAAACATTAAAAATATAAATATTTTTGGTTTTTATTTTAAAGTTATTTATTTTAATGTTATGATTATGATTTATTAGCTTCTTATCGACTCTTAAACCCTCTGCAGTTCCCTCAAGCACCAACAGGGGGTGTGAAACCCTGTTCTAGTGGGTTTGGATTGTAGTGCACTTATCTAGTACACTAGATTACAAACGCCACTTCTGTCAATGTCTGACTCCTGAAATAGTGAACTAACGCAGGACACTGTGGCTTTCTCCATAGACTTACATTAGAAAATGCTTGCATTAGAAAATAGTTGCTGATGAAGGCTCAGTTCAGATCAGAGGTGTGAAGTGTGTTACTAAGCATCAGCCACAAGAGGGCAGAATCCTGCTGCAAATACTGCAATTCAAAATAATTAATTCCCTATTTCATGCTGCTAAACATACTTCCAGCTGTTTTCATTCAGTTGCATTTTATTCTCAGTATGTTTCAGTTGTCGTCATGCATCACTGAGTTCATCTTATATGACCATGTCATGTCCAGTATGTTCTGTGATCAAATTTTTTTACTGATTTGATAAATAAAAGTTTATTTTTGCATTTACATCAGTTTCATTGATTTATTTCATTACTCATGCCCACATGATTTCACACTGAATCTGATCATCCCATTGACAGCAACTGACGTCCGTGTTCATTATTTACACTCATGATCATGGATGATGAAATGTTTGCATAAGTGTTTCCCTTCAGTCATCAGTGAATAGAGGAAGTGGTAAAAACTCAACCAATCACAGGCGTCTGGCCCCAGTGAATCTGGTTTTGTGTGTGTTTATCAAGGTCTGGAGAAGCCAGATCAGCTCAGTTCTGATTCTCTGGAAAGAAAAACCCCACAAACATTTAAATATACCATAACCGTGAACACACACTTTCCAGCCGCTTTCGTTTTGTCAGTAATTTTTCCATTGGCAATTCAAAAAGTTCAAAAGGCATTCATATATGTACCACAATGCTGCTTGCCATAATTTTAAAGGAACAGTTCACCTAAAAATGTATATTAGCTGAAAATGTCCGTCACCCTCAGGCTACCTAAAATGAGTTTGTTTCTTCATCAGATTTGGAGAAATGTAGCATTGCATCACTGTCTCAGCAATGGATGCTCTGCAGTGAATGGGTGCCGTCAGAATGAGAGTCCAAACAGCTGATAAAAACATCACAATAATCCACAAGTAATCCACACCACTCCAGTCCATCAGTTAACATCTGGAGAAGACAAAAGCTGAAACAAATCCAGCATTAACACCTTTTTAACTAAAACATGAGTCCATAATCCATAATAACGCTTCCTCCAGTAAAAGGGGTCTGTTGTGAATCAGGAGAGAAATCTGCACACTCACAGATCAAGCACCACTTAAGACAAAACAGTCCAAAACAGCTCTGAACAAATATGTGAGTGGATTTTGATGTGAGAGACAACAGGAGATGGACTTTTACACTGGAGGAAGTGTTATTATGGATTATGGACTCATGTTTTAGTTAAAAAGGACTTAATGATGGATTTGTTTTTTACAAACACACAGCTTTTGTCTTCTCCAGATGTTAACTGATGGACTGGAGTGGTGTGGATTACTTGTGGATTATTGTGTTTAATTTTGTTGATTGAATGGTTCATTTCTAAAATATGTATATGTGGCAAAGCTGAAAAAAAAAAAACATTGTTGAGGCAGTGATCAACCCAAAACATAGGACTCCAGTTAAATCTCAACTGTTAAAGCTCAGATGAAATAATAATAACTCCTCTTGAGAAGTCACACTTACAGTGAGATTATAGTTTACATACTTTATATTTGTAAGCAAAAGATTACAAACTTTGTGCTTAATTAACACATGAATATAGTGAATGATAACGTTCAAAAGTTTGGGGTTGGTAAGATTTTTTTATGTATTCATTTTTAAAAAACTGCATTCATTTGATCAAAAATACAATAAAAACTAATATTGTGTAATATTATTACAATTTAAAGTAGCTGTTGTCTGTTGTGATATATTTAAAAATTCATATGATGCAAAGCTGAATTTTCAGCATCATTACTCCAGCAGTGTCACATGATCTTCAGAAATCATTCTAATATGCTGATTTGCTGCTCAAGAAACATTTCTGATTATTATCAATGTTGAAAACAGTTGTGCTGCTTCATACTTTTGTGGAAAGTGTATTTTTCAGGATACTTTGATGAATAGAAAGTTCAAAAGAACAGCATTTATTTGAAATATAATTTTTTTTTGTAGCATAAATGTCTTTACTGCCACTTTTTATTATTTTAAAGGGGTCATATGATGCTGCTAAAAAGAACATTATTTTGTGTATTTGGTGTAATGAAATGAACTTGCGTTTGAATCGTCAGTGGCTAATTCTTTAAATATAAAAAAAACGTACTTACAGTCTTTGAGTCAGAACAGCCGGCATTGTAGTCTACTCTCCCAGGATCAGGAAACAGTCCTCCATAAAATGTGCTGCACACATCTGGATATTTGGGTTAAACTGTTCTGGAACAGTG